CGGAACAGACCTATACTTTACAGAACCAACCAGATTCTTTAAAATATATGGTGGTAGTTTTCCTGTCTAAAACAGTATAAATAACTTCCTTTATGGTAATGTCATGGAGACTAGATTAACAGTTTCTTGTCATCACCTGCATGCACTCAGTACAGCTGTATCAAACATCATTATTTCTGCTAATTGCTTAAGTTAATATCACATGAAACTTAAGGATGTTTTTCTGTCAAATAAATTTCCATACTTTGGGTGAGAAGAAGGAAAAATGGGAAGAAATTCAGTCAGAATTGGAGATTTTATATCTCGTGTATTTCTTAATGGATTCCCTTGAAATTTGGTATGTGAAGTAAGGGGCTAGTAGAGCACATCCACTGAAAATATGTGATAGTTTGGATTACCACAGTCTGAGCTACAGAATGTGGAAAATTTCTAAACTGTTACTCCTGTGTCTTGATTATGTTTCACTAATGTTACATATAGCACTGATGCAAAGCCAACTGGGCTGATAACAGCTAGAATTTTAATCAAATATGTGATGATAATATGTGTTGCATCATTTGGTGAACAATGACTTCTGTCATCATGTCATCTGATACAGGATAAGTTAAATAAATATTATTGTTAAGTTTAAGGACTACTGTACTTTCTGTTTCCTCACTTTTTATGCCTACTCTCTTTTGTGATATTTATTCACTGAGCAATAATGTATAATTTTGAAGACTTTGAACATAAATTCAAGAAACATTATTTGATCATCTAATGGGCATTCTTTCTGTATTTAACCTTATTTTTGTTTTGTTTTTCCCTTTTCAAGACTTGTATTTGTTTTGTAAAAATAAATTTACAACTAAAAATCTAGTCATTTCGGTTATTACTGGGCATATTTTAATTATTTTAGGTTTGTTTTAAGTATTATAAGCACTTTAATTTTTTTAAAAGTTAAATCTTCTCTTTTTGTATATTTACACTGGAATTTTATTTTGCAGTTGAATTGTATTATAAATAATTGATGACCAAATATCTTAACAGCTGCAAATAAGTTAATTTGTCTGGTGTAAGTAAGAATACAAGCCTACAGAAAGTAAAATGATTGGTAGTTTCAACTGTCATTAAAATATAAATATGGACATAATTTAATTATTTTTGCATACAAATTTTAATTTGGTTTCACCATACTTACCTATAAATAGCCATAGTTTCACCATTTGTATGTATGAAGTTTGACACAGTTTTGTCATTTTACATATTAATTTGGACTTTTTTTTTCATCATTTTTACAATTGAAAATTTCTCTAGGATAGCTAGCAAGTAAACATTAAGTTCAATAAAGATTAACTGGCTAGTGAAAGGGTAAAATAATTTTTGTACAGTCTTGAAATATATGTCTTAAGATATATATATATTTTTTTAAAACAATCAAAATTTATTAAAAAACATATCTAAATTTATACTTACAAAAATTATGTGTAGTAAAAAATGACTAAATTACACTTCTAATATTTTAATATCATTTGGATATTTAATGCTAAATCTTTCTAAAATATTAGGAGTATTTGTATTTTGCACCTGTAATCTATAGTGTTTTTATATTTCAGCACTAAGGGAGAATCCCTATACCAGGTTCTTGAGCTTTCTAAAGATGCCCAGCCTGAAGATGTCAAGAAGTCATATCGAAGGGTTTGTATAATTATATACTGTATTTCCAACATGTTATTTTTGTATATCTACACTAATACTTGCATGTTAGATCATAACCTCAGTAATTTTTTTCTTTTTGTAAGTAGATACGATTGTTGGAGTTATTCTTTGGTGATTAAGTAGTCATATAGTTAGTGACCAAAGATATCACATGAGCTTTATAATATTATCACATTGATATATTATCATAATATTATAACAACTTATAGTATTGAATTAATAAATCTGAACCCTCTTATTGTTTTATATTAAAATTTTGTCCATTTTAAAAAAAATACATAAAACGTATGTTTGGTAAATTGTTCACGTGTTATTGGGCGTAACGTTTTATTCCAAAAAATAAAAGATGAAATTATGAAGAACAAAATATTCTAATCAATAAATGTTAACATAAGAAGACATTTATTAACACTACCATAAATATCTCATACCTACAGTAAATTTGAGTTTTGGCTTAATTTTTATCACTCTTTGAAAATACGTTTAATGTAAAACTAAAATATTTTATTTTGCATATTTATTGAATTAAACTTATTTTCTAAGAACTAAATATACATAATTTTAATTTAATATCTTTTCCTAATAAACCTTTGGCAGAGAACTTAATAAGTGTATCAGTGTAGCTGTACAATCATTGCTAATGGAACAAATTTGTATAATTATTGTTCAAGTTTTAAATGTTAAGCCTAATTGTGTTTAACTTCTTTTTGTAATGCATGAAAAGAGTTACAATAGGTTCAGTAAAACTCTGATGTTATGCTATTTCAACTTGTACAATGATTTTGGCTTTTTTGTAATGTGTTTTCTCTTTCAAAAAATTTGTTTATGAATTCCAAGTTTTTGAAACATTATCCCTGTTATTTAACTATGATTAAAACAACTCCGTAAAGATTTAACTTTTATTCTGCCTAAAAGTGAAACTCAGCGGTCAAAATGGGAAAAAAAAAGGATGCAAATGACCAAAAACATGTGGAAAAATATATACACTCTAGAACTTACTACATCTTTTGACACCTTTTAAATAGTTCTGTGATTAATAATAAGTTCTTGTACCAATATCCATTATAAATTTAAAATTTTTGTTATTGTATTTTTCTTCATTTTTTTCCCCCTCCAGTTGGCACTCAGGTACCATCCTGACAAAAATCCTGATAATCCTGAAGCTTCTGATAAGGTTTGTTTTGTAGTTTGAATTTAATGAAAATATGGATATAATTACTTACTGTGTGTTACCTTGAGCAGATTATAAAACTTGGTATATTGCAGATAGGATGTAAGATTAACATAAATATAGGAAAGCTAGAGATTAATAAATAAAATAAAAAAAGGGCTTATAAGAAAGAGTTGATGATGTGAAAACTAATAACAAGGATGTTTCTCAATATATTGAACTTAAATAAACTCTCAAAATGTTGATTGGGTTCTTAAAGTATGCTGATGACAAAGTTTTTGTTGAATACTGAGATGGCTAAGCCTACAAATGTTTTTTCTCTTCTATTTTTACAAGAGAGGATATTAGCAATAATTCTGACACATAGCATTCTCTGATAAATATTGACTTCAATCTTATAAACAGGAAGACTGAGAGAAAAAATAAAGGACCAGACAAGGTTTCCTCAGAGTTGTAGACTTTTCTGTTTTTCATTTTTCGTAGGTCACTAGAAAGTGGGTTGGTGTCTGAGGATTGTAGAGTTGTTAACGTTACTCCCATTTTTAGATTGAGTGATAAGAGTTGACCTGAAATTTTTGGCCAGTTAGTCTTCTGTAGTGGGAAAAATTCTAGTGAGTCTTGTAACGAAGCTTTGTAAAAATCGTTTAGTAAAATAGGATATCGTCAAAGAAAGTCAACACGGATTCGCAAAAGGAAAATTTTGCCTTACTAATCTGTTAACAAATAACATTTTAAAAAAAATTTTATCTGGATAATGGAAATAGTATGGACTTGGTGTACTTGGATTTTAAAAAAACTGTTGATAAGGTGCAACACAGAAGATTATCTAACAAAATAATGTTGATAGGGGTTGTGGAAAGACTAATTAATTGGACTGTAGGATGGTTTTATGCGAGAAAGCAAAAGATTGTTGTTACAGGGTTTGCACAGATTCTTACAAACCTGAAAAGTTTAAAATGCACAATTATAAATTCAGGCTTGAAAATCCTGTAGAATGTGTTTTTGGAAAAGTCATGGGAAAATAATTTTAATCACATTTGTATTCAAATACTATGCACTTGTGTGTTATTTTTTTCAGTATTAATTTGATTAATTGCTCTTTCTAATTAGATAACTGGGTAAAAGTTGTAGATCATCAAAACTTTTACAGAAAGAGTTGTATTTAACCTATTAACATGACTAGCAGGGGTAATTACAGTCATAAATAAAAAGAGGTGCAAAGAAATTTAGTGTGACAACTGATCATAGGATTCTGAAGAAATTAGGATGAGGGGACAGAAATTTACGATTTGTAAAAGAAAGCAAGGCTGGAGATAAATCAGTTTTATTTTTCCAATGGGTTGATAGACTTATGGAATGAGTTGCTGTTGTGATTAGTGGAGACTGGGACTTTACAGGAGTTTTAAGAGGGGATTCAATGATTTCCTTAAATTAAAGAGTGGATTTAAAGGTTTATGTTTCTCTAGGGTGTGTGTGTGTGTGTTATGGCATGTATTATGTATTTATAATTTTAATAGTGATAATTTTATATGCTGTCATAAGTGACCGATTGTTGTATTTTACTAACACCAAGGAAATGCAAAATATTTATAAAAGAACTGTGAAAACTAAAATATTTAAAAAAAATACTTCCTACTCATTTCTCTTATGAATAAGACCAACATTAGATGTGTTGTAACTATGAAATTCAGAACTCTCCAGTAATAAACTTCATGTTGTTGTTGTCAGTCATTATTTTAAACAGATGGATAAAATAACTGAACAGATTTGAACAAATTAGAATGTCTCCATTCTATTTCCAGGCCTGGTTTTATGATCCTAGGCCCAATGACAATCAAGTCATGAAACTTCAATTGTTTTAGGTTGTTAAACCTAATTTAACACCTTCATTTTTCAGAATTTTGTCTAAAAAATTCCTTTAAATTTAGAGATGATTTTATCTATGAAAGATTTTGAGCAAGAATCATTTTTCTTTTTTCTCAAGTAAAGTTGACTACATTTACCTATATTTAAAATGCAACAAAATCTACTTCTGAATTCTCCAAAATTTCTACCTCCATTTATCATTTTGTGTATATTTATAATATTATTGTGTTTTTGGCACTTGTGTATAAAGGTAAAATCATAAATAATATTCAATGTTAAAATT